GTGGGTGTTTTGTTTCTTTGTGGTGGCTTTGTGTCTGTTTGTAGCAGCTTTGTGTTTCTTTGTGGTCATCTTTGAAGCGGTCTAGCTACCTGCTGGAAGTCGTATGAAGCAGTATGTTGTATATAAATAGAATGAGTACCAACAGAAAACCATTCAGGTTCTTCCAGTCTTGTGGTTTTGTGTTTTCTGGGGTGTTTATGCCAGAGTTCAGTTTCGTCCACCTCTGAGCTCCTTCCTGTCTTGAGCGTTGCATTGTGGGAGACCGTTGCGTTGCCAGTGTCAGCACAGACCCAACAGCGTGTCGCTTCAGTCGCTCACGTCTCCGAGTCCATCATCCTCCACCCGCCGTCCAATCACCTCCAGCTGCACCGTCTTCTTCTGCCCCTTCTGCTCCGTTGCCTCCTTCTCCGGCTTCTCCGATTGGGCGTACCAGGGCTGGGGGGCGGAGCTATCGCAGGCCCGGCCCCCCCTGCGGAAGCCGCCCCTGCCGGCCCGGACCAGCCCCCAGCCCTGCAGCGTGGCGTCCGAGCTGCCCTCCTGGACGCCCCTGGTCTGGTCCAGCTCCTTGGCGCTGAGCGACGACATGCGGACCGGGACGGTGTTTCCGAACTTGGAGTAGTCGACGCAGTAGCGGCCGTCCTCCTCGGTGATGATGGAGACGAAGCGCCGCCCCCACAGGATCTCCTCGGGGGTGTAGGAGGTCCGGGCCTGCATGCTGATCCCCGTCGTCTCCACCACACCTGGAACACAGCAGCTACAGGTGAGACAGACCTGCACAGGTGTCACACGTCAGCCTGAGGACCAACGCTGTAAACATGAAGTAGAAAAACTCTCAACACACGTTTATAGCCACAAAAATAAGGTTCCTCATTTGATTTTATGTTTGATTTGTTTTGTGTCTTTATCATTGTTTCTTTGTCACTTCTGTGATAATTTTTTATTTTTTTATTTTTAGTTTTTTTTGGTCTTTTGTGACTTTGTGGTCATTTTCTGTCTTTCAGCGGGTGTTTTTCATTAATTTTTTTTGTTTTTTTTAGGGTTGTTTTTTGCCTTTGTGGTCAATTTTCTTCACTTTGTTTGTTTTTTGTTTGTGGTAATTTTCTGTCTTTTCTGTGTCTTTTGGTATTTTTTTCCCTTAATTGGTCGTTGTTTATTGTCTTCGTAGTTGTTGTTTTTTTCATATCTTAGCTGTTTCTTTTCCATTGTAGTCATTCTTCATCTCTTCATAGTTGTTGTTTGTGTCATGGTCAATCTTCGTCACCTTAATTTTATTATTTTTTTGTCTTTTTGTGGTAGTTTGTTGACTTTACGGTCATTTTCTTCACTTTATAATTCTTTAGACTGTTTGTGGTTGTTGTTCTTTGTCTTTTTGGTCAATTTTGGTCACGTTATTGTAAAAGTTTTGTCTTTCTGGTACTTTTTTTAAATCGTTTTTTTGTTGTGTTTTGTCTCTGTTGTAGTTTTTCTCTATTCTGTGGTCATTTTCTGTGACTTTTGGTACTTTTTTTCTTCTTTGTCTCTTTGTGGTCGTTGTTTGCCTTTGTGATCTGTTATTATCTCTTAATGGTTATTATTTTTGTCTTGCTGTGGCTGTTTTCTGCCTATGTCATATTTTTTTTGTCTTTTTGTGGTCATCTTTTTTCTAATGTGGTTGCTTTCTTCTCCTTGTGGTAATTTGTCATTTCTGCCTTCAACTTTTTTTTTCTTTTTTTAAAACTATGGATTTTTTTTTTTTGATCTGTGTGGTCATATTTTATGATTTTGTTGTTTTGGTTGTTTTTTGTTTTTTTTTGTCTCCATGTAGTTGTTTTGCAATTTTAAGATACTTTCAGGCAGTCTCCCACACAGCATATTTAAGATATTTTTGCTTTTCAGCCTCTTTGTACATTTACTTGGATCAAAACTGGTCATTTTATGTGTATTTTGTTTTGTGTTGTCAGAATAAACTGACTTGTCTTGAAGATGATCACTTGCAACGCCACAAGAATCGGGTTTTAGAAAGTAGAAAACGGTTTTAAACACATTTGTAGCTGCACTGAACAGAGTAGGTCTGTTCTGTTCTGCTGCGGTGGATCCAGGTTTGGGTTTCAGACCTTCCAGGATGACGATGATCTCCAGGTCGTCGGAGGCCAGCGACTGGGCCGACAGCTCGTACAGAGGACTCCCTCGCTCCATGGTGTGGCTGACGATCAGAGGAGACACCAGGAAGATGCCGTTGCTCCTCAGAGGGTTCTCCACTTGGATGTCCAGCTGACACACCGGGATCACCTCGCCCTCCGCCGTCACCGTCCGCCGGATCACCTGCAGGGAAACAACAGCGTGAACAACCAGGCAGAGGGGCAGCTGCTTCATGTTTGGAGTTATATCTCTTGTGTTAGTTTTCTAGATCTGTGTAATCGTCTAGTGTCTTTATTGTGTGCTTTTTGTCTGTTAGAGGTTGTTTTGTGTCTCTTTGTGGTCATTTTTTCCCCACTTTCGATACTGTTGTAGTTGTTTTGTGTCTCTGTGATTCTTTTGTCTTTTTGTGGTGGCTTTATGTCTCTTTGTGGTCATTGTGAGCCTCTTGGTAGTTGTTTTGTGTCACTTTGTGGTCACTTTGTGTCTGCTTGAGGTTGTTTTGTGTCACTGTGGTAATTTTTTCCCTCACTTTTGATCCTTTTGTAGTCATTTTTTGTCTTTTCGTAGTTGTTTTTTCTTCTCTTTATTGTTGTTTTGTGTCTATTTGTGGTGGTTTTGTGTCTCTTCGTAGCTGTTTGGTATCTGATAGTGGTCACACTGTCTGTAGTTGTAGCTCCAGTGAACCTACAGCAGACCGGTTGGAGGTTGTGCGTCTGTTTTGTGTGTCAGAGTGTCGCCACCTGGAGCTGGACGGTGGCGGAGATGATCATGCTCTTCCTCAGGTCTCCGACTCTGAACATGAAGGTCGGCCGGCCGTTTCTGGGCGCGATGACGGCGTTCCTGGAGAAGATGAGCGTCTCGGCCCGGCGGTTGGCCTGAGCCGTCTTCATGAAGACGCAGCCGAGCATGACGGCGTTGATGATCAGGCCCAATATGTTCTGGATGATCAGCACCGTGATGGCCAGAGGACACTCCTCCGTCACCATCCGGCCGCCGAACCCGATGGTCACCTGCAGACGACGGAAACAGTTAGAATCATTCACTAAATTTTTAAAAAAGTTTACACCTGACCATTTTCAATTTGACTGATTTTTATTTAAAGTGATGAATATTGATTGAACTGACCACGTGGAAAATCTGGGCTCATAGATAACATTAGTTTTTGAGTTAAAAATCCTGAAAGAAGGTGGGGTCGGTTTTTGTGGCGCATGGTGGTGGCAGCATCATACCGTGGATCAATGTTCGAAGTGCCATAACTTGAGAAATATTGTAGCTAGAGTCCTGAAATTTTACAGGCTCACTGATGTGAACACAAGAACGTCAATAGTGCAACCCTGCTGTGATAGAATAATACCAACCAGTTACATGATGGTGCAAATTTGGTTTTAAAAAAAACTTCCATGTTTCTGTCTGCTCAGATATTCCACCAACCATAAAATGTTTATTTTTCACTCTAAGAGGGTGATTTATTTTTCCTGTGTTTGGCACCAACAGGAGCTTTAAAATGTAGAGTATAGTGCCAGTCAGAGGCAAACTTTATGAGGAAAAAATGATTAAAGTTATGATGTTGCATTGCTGTCCAATATTAGGACAATCACTGAACAGGTATGATGGATGAAACCACTCCAACAGTGTGAGAAGAGTTCCATAATATTGTTACTGGGCTAAAAGAAAATCATGGTTTCTCAACTCATAGTGCTTCAAATAATTTTAGAAAACATGGTACCAAAAGCAATCATGTCAGATATTTTCATGCATATCAATGACACAAGACTGTAACTACTATATTTCCCAAGTTATGGCACATTGATCCACAGCATGATACTGCCACCTCCATGCTCTGCAAACATGGACATGACCTCTGCTTCTTTAAGGATTTTTGACCCTCTTTACCGATGAGTCCAGATTTTACACATGATCAACTCAATCAATAATCACTCATTTAAAAAACAAATGAGTCAAATTGAAGATGGTCAGGCGTGGGGTTTTCGGTGAACTGATCCGGTCGGCTGGACTCACCTGGACCTCGATGGAGAAGAGGAAGGCCGAGGTGAAGGAATGGATGGCGGTGACGCAGGGGACGGGGCCCGGTTCGCCGTTGGGGTCGCGAGGCTCCAGGTCTCCGTGGGCGAAGGCCAGCAGCCACCAGATCATAGCGAAGAGCATCCAGGAGCAGAGGAAGGCCGAGGTGAAGATGAGGAAGGAGTGCTGCCACTTCAGGTCCACCATGGTGGTGAAGACGTCCTGCAGGAAGCGGCCCTGAAACAAAACGGACACATTTAAACCTCCAGGAGGCCTCAACGTATGTCTGTTGTTAACCACCGTGGAGTTTTTACACCTCAGTTTAATTTAAAACAGCATCAGGAGGATTTTCACGGTCAGAACCGGGTCTGGGTTCTGGGCTCCACCTGCTCCCGGATGTTCTTGTGCGCCACGTTGCAGGACCCCGTCTTGGTGATGAAGCGAGCTCTCTGCGAGCGGCACCGGCTCCGGTTCGGCTGGTTCTGGTCCTCGGCCAGGCGGGTCAGCAGGAAGCCGTCCGGCAGGAGGCCCTTCCTGGCCAACATGATGCTGCACACAGACACACAAAACACACATTTAAACCAACA